CATTCCCACCGTAACCTTCAGAGCCCTGAGGTCTCTCATTATTCCAAACATCTTGGGCCAGAAACACATCTGACCATATCCAAGTGTTCTGGGTAGGGTGAGGGATTCCATCTAATCTGGGCTGGATCCACCGAATATATTCAATTCCACCCATATCCTTTCCATGCAACATGAAGATCTGAATACAGTTTTCTATCCTGCCTCTGCTACAGTAATTCACGGGAGGAGAAGGCAATACACACCCACAGCCGCACTGGCTGAGGAAGGGCCTTGGCTGGTCAGATGCCGCCTGAAGGACCAGCATGAAACATGGGTGCACCCTACAGCATGAACTTTGCACCTCTGTGATGTTGCAGGAGATCCTAGGAACAGTTTATTTCTTGGCTTTCTCTTATCTCCAAAATGTTGTTTTGCCCTCCCCACAAGCCTAAATCTCGCCCTCACCTCCTGCCAGTGCCCTGATGTCACCTATGTGAATGTTGCAATTGGTTGCTGTGCTTCCCATTGTGTGTGTTTGTGTGTATGTATGCACATTTGTTTATGCGGTTGTGTATGTTCATTCCATGGTGCAGCTGGTTTGCGTCATCTTTCCCCTTCAGCTGTGTAACTGTTATCTATGTACGATATGACAACCACGTGTATAATGCCCAGACCAATAAAGTTATGACTGTGCAGGTGTGGAATAGCTGCCTGACGTCCTTTGGTGGGGCAGTGGAGGGGAAGAGATACCCTCTTTTCAAAAACGTATTTGTTGGCTTCATAAACCAACAGAGCCAATGTGGCATAATGGTCAGAGCATCAGACTAAGATCTAGGAGATCCAGGTTTGAATCCCCACCCTGCCGGGTGATCTTGAATGAGTCACACTGTCACACCCTAAGGTATCTCAAAGGATGGTTGTGAGGATAAAATGGAAGAGGGGAGAATGACATTGTGAGTTGTTTTTATGGGAGAGGCTGTGCCTCAATGGTAGAGCACCTTCTTGGCATGCAGAAGATCCCAGGGACAGAGCCAGCGCTGTCCGAAGACATTTCCGTGGTCATGTGGCCGGCATGACTAAACACCAAGGCACACAGAACGCTGAAGTGGTACCTATTTATCTATTTGCAATTTCTTGCTTTCGAACTGCTAGGTTGGCAGGAGCTGGAACTAGAGACGGGAGCTCACTCCGTCATGCAGCACACTCGGGTCTCGAACTGCTGAACTACTGACCTTCCACAGCCTGCAGTTCAGCATCTTAACCACTTGAGCCACCACAGCTCTGTGGGAAAGATTGCAGCAGGGTAAATAGCAGTTTTCTGGGTCTTGCTCAAGCTCAGCAAACCGGGGGGGGGGGGGGACCTTAAAGCCTTACACTGCAAAATCCAACTTCAAAAAAACACTAGGATTTCATGGAATATCCATGAGACCCTGGTGAGTTGTTGTCAAGTCAAAGTTGACAGCACTGAGCTCGATGAAACAATGGTCTGAACGCTATATAAGGTGGCTTTGTAAGAAATCAAGTTCACTGGATGGTTATCAATTCAGGAGCCCAGTTCAAAGCACACTGAAAACTGCCTTACTGGGTTTCACATGTGTATGCTAACAGAAAAAAGCTAGGAAACACACTTTAAATTGGTGGGGGCACATTTGGGCAAAGCCTCCCACACAAACTATGAATCTCTAGCCCTGTTATGCTGCCTTTCAGAACAATTGGTAATGTTTGCCCTCATGCTTCCAAATTCTTCACTTGCTGATTTCATCACACCAGGCTGCTGTTGAATGCACAAGAACAGAGCCCAAGCTTCTCCTGGTTAGCTAGCAACCCAAACTCCCACCTCCTGACTAAACGCACATAGGGCAGCCCATTTATGGAGCTTCTGGGGCTCCTCCTGTTATTAATAACACACTTCCAGTTTGGGGTCCCTTGACGTGGACAAACTGCAGTCTGCATATGCTCAGAGATGCTCTTTTGTCACTGCTCCACCTGATCTGGGAGTATTCATGCACCATCTTTCCATCAGCAGGCCAGATGATGACTCAGTTGCCTGGGACAACTGTGAAGGGGGTTCCTCAACAGTACTTCCTCCCATTTCTCTCCTGCTGTGACTTCAGTGTGATTTAGATAGCTGGGGGGGGGGCTTCTTCATTCCTGTCGTGCTTGCATTTACAAAGATGCCAGCAAACAACATGCACTACGCTAGTAATCCTTAATTTGCAAGCCCACATGATTTATACACATTA